GACAGGGCCAACCAGGCAGGATACAACCCAACCCACTTTGCCGGAGCACAGCCCCCACACCACTAGATGGATATCAACAGACCACCAACTTACTACCCTGAGACAAGGCTGAGTATAGCCCACGAAGGTCTCCTCTACCGCACGAGCCCGAGGGGGCGCAAAACCAGACATGAAGATCACGTCAGTGACTCAACCCACTCAAGTGACGCACCCCTCCTAGGGATGGCATGGAAGAGCACTAGTAAGCCAGTGACTCAACCCCCAGTGGAGAGAGGGGAGCCGGCCAGGCAGAGACAGCAAGGGTGGTTCGTCTCTCCAGTGCCTTGCCGTTCACCTTCGCACTCCTGGATCAGACTACACTCAATCATAGGACCTACCGAAGAGATGGGTCTTCAGTAAACACTTAAAGGTCGAGACCGAATCTGTGAATTCCATAAAAATTTTGCTATATAGGAGAAAGCCCTGCATCCAGCTGTTTGCTTAAAAATTCTAGGGACAATAAGGAGGCCTGCGTCTTGTGACCGTAGCGTATATGTAGGTATGTACGGCAGGACCAAATCAGAGAGATAGGTAGGAGCAAGCCCATGTAATGCTTTGTACTGTAGGTTAGCAGTAAAACCTTGAAATCAGCCCTAGCCTTATGATCACATTTTTTGGTTCTAGTCAAGATTCTAGCAGCAGTGTTTAGCACTAACTGAAGTTTATTTAGTGCTTTATCCATAGGAGGCTCATGGTTCTCACCCCCTTCCATGGACTTACACAGTAATTATGACAACTTCCGGAGGACATCCTAATACCTATCAGAGCTCTTGCAGCATGAACTGACATGTTGTCCACCCAATCAAAGGATCAGAGAATTAATCTAGTACTGAAAGCATACGAGACAGCTAGATAGCACTGCAGTGTATAAAATGTGGTGAGTAGTTGACTCAAAGAGAGAGAAAGACAATAGTTTAACAGTTTTGAACAAATAAATGTCTTAAAAAATTAAGGAGAAGTGAGAGAGACAGAGAGAGCGATAGAGAGAGCTAGCTATATTTTGTATTTTTTTCACTTTCACTTTCATTTACTTAGCTAGCGAACTCAGTTAGCTCGTTTAGCCTTCTCAACACCTGGCTCAAACAGAGAGGGATGCTATGTTAGCTAGATGTCTATCCAACACTGGAACTCTTCGAAGTCAAGGTCATCTTTTGGTTTTATTAATTTATTGCCAACAGGGCCTGCCGGTGTAACTGCTAAACTACTTGCTGTACAATGTACTGCATGATTGTAGCGGGTTCTAGGAGAAATGTTGACTATGACGTAAGTTGATATGGTGACAACGATGTAGGCTATGTGTAGCAGTTAGCGGTTATGGTATGAAGGTTTGGCTTGTAAAGTTTTTTTTTGCCTGGTCTCAGACAGCTGTTGTGTTGTGCACTGAAGTCCAAAAGCGAAGGGAAAAGGTGAGAGGAAGATAGCGCATAGATGCGGGAAGGAATTATACAACGATCAAATTGATCATGCTGTTTATATGTGGCTGCCATGAAAAGGAACTGTGTTTGCGTGTGATCAAGGGTGTATTCATTCCACCAATTCTGTTGAAAAACATTTATTTAACGGAAAGCAAATGAAATGCAACAGGGATAAACATACCTGAATTTGTCCAATAGAAACTCTAGTTTTTCCACTGTTTGGACAAATCATTACACCCTAGATCAGCTAGATGTAGGCAAGAATGTGCAAGGCGGTATTGAATGTGTCGCTGTCTGTTACCTTGATTGCTCAAATATTTATCTCGACCTGTGCACCTACGTTGTAAATTCGTAGGCTAGGTTGTAGCAACCTCATGATGGGTGTAGGGAAAATGTGCGTGTCATGTAGTAAGCTAAACCTACTGATGTTACATTGAGCTGGGTGAATGGAATATGAATGACAGTCATCCAATATGCTGTAATAATAAAAAGGCCATGCTCACAAAAAGATAATCGTCCTCCCTAATCTTAAACGGCACCAACCGCCACTGGTTCCCATGCTCTCTGGCAGCTTTTTTAAACAGCAACAAACAGCAGGGATTTAGACAGCTACAAGCCCAGGACAATCCACGGTCGCAGCCACAAGGGCTAACCGCATCGCAGACTGTGTTTAAGCTGTCAAGGAAAAATTGCTACCTTGATAGCTAGTTAGCAGGTAGGCTAGCCGCTCCGCCAAGCAGACTCTTCAAACTTTTGTTTGGCAGGATCCCTGGACAGACACAGTATAGTGTTCTCAGCAACAGAGGCTAACTGTGTCACGGGATCCAAATTCAAAAGGTAGCTAGTAACAAAACTTTTTCAATAGAACACTTTTTCAATTACTTTCAAAACATTAAAAACAACAAACCGAGCTCTACTTTGTTTTGCATTCAACATGTGACGTACCGGAAGTTCAGAAATGCAAACTTGTAGTGTATTTGAGATTTAAAAGGCTTCTAAAGTTTGTAATTTCCTCTGTTCAATTTGATTTGATTCTTCCTAACAGAAATGTATCAACCCCTACAACAAATGTCCATAAATTCTAATCCACATAATAATTCACATTTCCTGTTGCTGCAGGATTATTTTCCTGCTGTGAGAAACTGGGTCAAATGAAGATACGGCATCTGTATCAATTGGATACCTAGAAAAAATATAAAATGCTTCACGTCAAATTATAATGCTGTTGAGTAATGGGGTATTCTGATAAGAGGAGGATTGCAGCTGTCTCAGCTATTGAATGTTGTCTGTTTCATAGAGCCATAAACCAGAGCACAAGACATCTTGGGTCAACAAATGTGAATATTTCATGTGATTTGTCTTTCAAAGCTGAGATAGAGATGTGTCCCAATGTGCCATGCGATACAGTGGGAACATCCTCCTTGCTTTAACATCGCTATAGAGATTGTTACACAGCAGTGCAACTGATGTGGGAGCATGCTGAGCCATGCTCGTGTGTGTGTCTAGTAGGCATGATTTGCAGCCTATTCTAAAAGTGGAATTGGATTCTACAACTCATGCTCCTTGGCATTGATCCCCAACCCTGTAGGAGGCTTACAAACCAGAGAAAAAAATATTGTGCTTTATTGATTCAGCCTTGATAGCTTGCAGGAAGGATTTGAAACACTGGACATATTGAATTATACAACCGGTGGGTCTAATCCTGAATGTTGATTGGTTAAAACCATATTCCAGCCGGTGTCTATTTAAGCATTATACAATGGGTGGGGACTAATCCTGAATGCTGATTGGTTAAAAGTGCATTCCAGCCGGTGTCTGTCTATGACGTCAAAATGACTTTTTACTCTGTTCCAGTTGACTGCGCAATCCACTGTCTCATCAACCCAGGCAGGGAAAAAACTTAATCAAACTTAATCTCCACCATAAAAAGCATCTAGACATTATCTCACATATCTTTAAGACTAATATTTAGTTTTCAACAGCGGAGATTTGTATAAACCTTACTGTCTGTCACTCCGACATTTGCAACATTGTTTCAATATTCAAATTCTCTTAGTAATGAACGTGTAAGGGTCGGGAGTCGGGACGAGAGAGCGAGGCAGGCAGCATTTCTCAGCCAGTCGAAATCATGATTCAGCTGGCATAATTTTTATGGATACATACAAAGAAATGTCAATTGAAAAAAATGTACAACGAAACAAAGTGCAGCTAGTTTGCAGTCTTTCCAGCTTCAGTGTGAAGTGATTGTGTTAGCTGTGTTGTTGGCTAGCTCCTCTGAACAACAGTGTCCTAATGAGCGAGCACATTTTCTATGCCAGGCGAAATCGTGCCTCATTAGCTCATTGTTATGGATGTATCCAAATAAATGTCACTAGAAAACAGCTTAAACAAATGCAAATGCAGCTACTGTTTTTTAGATGTTTTACGTGACTGTAAGTTAGCCGTAGTTGGCTAGCTAGCAAGCAAGGGATAAGAACGTTGCCAGCCAGTATGGCAATGGAACATTTAGAACGAACGACTGGGTCGCGTCCAAACACACAGAACAAAAAGACTGAATGACTGGGTCGCGTCTCTGGCAACCGAACCAATAGAACGAACGACCAGCAGTCTTGGTATCAACCCTATATTTGTGTCTGGACTATATAATAGTATGAATAAATTCACAAAAATAATGAAAATATGACAACCATTATTTGAATATGTTGGTAACCCGTTGTATAAAAGTGATATTGAAAATATGTCAACCATTATTTGAATATGTTGGTAACCCGTTGTATTAAAGTGATAATGCCCTCGAAGCCGGTGTTTGGAGGATATATTGGCACGGTTTTCCGGCCCTCGACGGACAACACCCGTGCCAATATATCCTCCAAACACCAGCTTCGAGGGCATTATCACTTAAATCTACACTAGCCTACAGTTCAAATAAATATGCAAAAATCCATACACAGCTTTCCTTGACTTGCCTCTTCTTCATGACATTGTTTGGCAATACCACCATTTTTTCTGCAGCTCGCATATGGAAAATATGTTCTCTCTTTTTCTTGTTTCCCTCTGACATTTCTGAAAAGATCAAGGAAGGTGGGAGTTGAGAAAATGTCAACAAAGCTGTCAACAAGGCAAAGAGTGGCTATTTGAAGAATCTCAAATATAAAATATATTTTGATTTGTTAAACACCTCTTTGGTTACTACATGATTCCATATGTGTTATTTCATAGTTTTGATGTCTTCACTATTATTCTATAATGTAAAAAATAGACAAAATAAAGAAAAACCCTTGAATGAGTAGGTGTGTCCAAACGTTTGACTGGTAGTGTATATCTCAGCAGATTCCAAAACCCATTTTTTCAAGTCATTATGTTGGCTACTACATGATAATAATACTTTAATTCGTTCTATAGAACTTGTTGTCATGTGGTCTAGTCCTACAGGTTAAGAACCACGAGCGCCATTCTCTTCTCTCCTGTTAAATGAGCCCTGGCCCCCCATCTCCCTTTAATGGCCAAACCCACCAAATAATTATTGAATTTCCCACTCCAGTTCCTGTCACATCCGGTTTCAGCACCACGGCTAGCTCCCTCCCGCATTCTCGTGATTTAGCTCGTGCACCCCTGTGCTTGTTTTGCGGAGCCAACTTTTGACTAAAGGCTGGTGGAGTTGTGATTTGAGAAAGCTTAATGGTTTTTCTTTCCATGTTTCGCATGCGAGGTGGCTGACAGAAGAAAGACATAAGGAAGAGGATCTTCAGCACAAGGCATTGAGATGCATTGAACATCATGCAGTGACGGCTCCTCACCAGATTTATTATTTACCCTTTATTTTTGTGCTCAGCTCTGCAACGAAGATTGCAAGACGACGCGTAAAAGAGGAGGAAGACATTAGTGAAAAAGACAATCTGCATGTGAAAGTACTGGATTTGGTGCTATCGGAGGCAAGAGATGCAGCCTACTAGCAAGCTTCTGAGTCTCACCCTCCTCGTCTTGATGGGCACTGAACTCACCCAAGTAGGTTTATAAACGCCATTTTACTCCCTATTTAAGATACTCAAACCATGATTAGCGAATTATCCTACAGAGTACCTACTTAAAGAAGGTGTAGACCTAGAGATTTAAATATTTTATAAAATCGAGACGATAAAGGGATTTCATCCCCTTCGTAAAATTTGATAAGCGCTAATGCGCATCCGCGGAGGTGTTTCTATAGCCACATGTATGATATCTATTCCTGCTTGTCTAGAATAAAAATGTGACAATCAATTAAATAGTCTAGGCTATATTTAAATATTTAAATTGTTGTTTCACATTCAATTCATCTAACTAATTATATATTCACTCCAATTATGTTTGAGATAATCAAATTTCTTATTTCTAAATCGAAATCAGCGAGCAAAACGACTGAATGAAAGTTAATCACATGGCATTAGCAGTGATAGCCTACTGTATCAACTAACAGCCCATATAGTTTCACCTGAACTGAGACTTTGGGTAAATCTTGTTAAACTTTCAGCCCATTGCGGAGTCCCTATCCCATTCAGGGGGTTCTTGGTGTGACTATCCAAATCCGCATGTCTGAATACTTATTTTGGAGAATTGAGAAGCGATACTAAAGATAGCGAGCAAAATATCTTCAAATTAGTCAATTATTAATTTCACAATGACATAAGTAGGCCACTTTTACATACATGGAGGAATAACGCTGTTTTGAGAATATCTATCAAACATGCTGATAAGATGTGACTTCAGTTTCATTAAGTCAGAATTACAGGCCTATTGGTCTAATATGGCAGAGGAAAGGCTAAATAAGAAAGCTTAACAAGCATTGCATAAACAAGATTCTACCGCAGGTTGTAGCATGAATAGCCTCATCTCTTTACATTGATACTACAGGCAAACAGAAATCATTCAACACAGTAATAATAAACTGCTATTTAAAATGCGAAACAATTAAAAAATCATCAGACTTTTTGTTATGATTAATAGCTGTGATTAATAACTAGTATTAATTTGTAATGCTGGTCTGTATGAACATGCTCTTCTTAATATCTCAATTTTATTTTCAAGGAATTGTTTCTCTGTTCAGAGATGCATTGCACTCCACAGTGCCACAGCGCCTCCCCCTGGCAGCCACAATGCCACCTACATTTCCCAACTGTCTTGGGACACCAACAGGGTGTTCAAGCTTTTGTTGTAGCCCAGCACTACCACACTTGATCACACGCTAATCAACTGATCATCAAACTCTGGATTCGTTGAATCAGGCATTTGGTGCTTTCAAATAGTCATGACAAATTGACATTCTTATTTACATTCCTGAAGCTGGTATGGCAGGCTATGGCACTAAGTCTAGGCTACACAGTATCTGACAAGTGGGCGTGCAATACCATTTGTAACGACAAGGTGGCGGAATGTCCCTAGATATCCCTGCACCTGGTTGGTTAAGCAAAACAGGACCATGGACAGCGCTAGAGATTCTGCCTGCATGTGCCATTATTGCGCCACGGACATTGTTCCTGCCTGATGTTAAATCTGATGTCGTTTAAAATCTCTACGATTAATCAGATGTCCCTAGATTACGAATTGTCGTTTGCCTATCTTTATTGGATGAAATGAAACTTGATTGTACCTTGTGGAGAGTTGTTGCTGATGGGTTTCAATGTGGTTGGACTAATCCAGTTCTTCTCCCCATCGAGAGTCATCCAGCCACCGCTATTAAGTAACCTACACAATTAAGGCATCCAGTCTGAGAATGCTGTTTTCTTTAGGTTCGTTTGGCCTCATTTTGTCTCCATTGCTTTTGTGGGGTTTCATGCTTAACTTGATTATATCACACATTGACTTCAAAGTCTGGAGTCATGTTATTTAGATATAGTTTTCCCTGGCATGAAGATAATCTCTTGTATTTGGTATAGAAGGTGGAAAGGTGCAGAATGCTGTCTCGTTGTGGCAAGCGCGAAAGCGTGGCACCATGGATTTTAGCTGAGGGTTTTTCTATCCGTGCGCGGTGGGCGGGGGTATCCAGCGAATGGGAGAGGCGACTGAATTCCGTCATCTTATAAACTCGAGATTGATTGCAGGAGAACGGCATCACATTTTAAAGCAACCGCATTGACCCATCATCACAGTCGCTTTTGAAGAGAGCAGAACCTCCACCTGTCATCCAAACATGTTCAAACCCAGACTGTCCGCTGTTGCAGCCATGCCGTTGCATCAAATGACTGGCAATATTATTTGCCTACTTAGTTCTCCACTGGAATGTGTATTTTGATAATACGAAGAGAGCGCAGATATGTCGGTGCCTTTACTGAAGATTGGAGTGGTGCTTAGCACGATGGCTATGATCACTAACTGGATGTCGCAGACGTTACCGTCCTTGGTGGGACTCAACACCACCAATCTCTTGGTAGCTTCAGGAGGGAAAGCGGACCGGAGCATCGGCGTGAGTGACAGCTGATTCAGGAACCATTAGAATCATGTACCCTACTGAGGATAAATTGCGGGCTTACATTTGTGCCAATAGTACGAATAAAAATAGTTTAAAAAAAGTTATTAGTATGCCTATAATTTATCATGTTGGTTGTTAATTGAAAGAAAAAAAAACTGTTGTTGGTTGTGCATCAAACGAGAGGAAAATTGACTGTAGTGACTATTGCCAAAACGAGTAGGCCTATCCATGAACATATTGTTGAATAAACTGCTAATAATGATGTTACTATTCTTGTTAACCCTAGTGTAGGCCATACAACAACTTTCACATATTCTTTGCTATATGGATGAACTGATATATTGGAGAAGAAGTGTGGCAATGTGGTCCAATGATGGACAATTATAACAGTTCTAAGACTGTGACTAATGTATTTAAATATAAAGAGCAAAATTAGGCTACATTATATAGACTAACAGCAAATGTGGCATGTTATAGACATAATGGATCTTAGCATAATACACTGCATGTCACTAATTGCCAGAGTACATCTAGAGCCATATTTCTATTCATATCTAAATTGCTCTGGGTTCATGTAGTGGTAAAACTTAAACCAATCGACATTTAGACCAGCCTCAGTATCTAATTATTACTCCGAAGGCTTGTTGCTAAATAGGCTATGACTGTTTTACTGAATGACTCTACCCCATGATATATTGGAGGGTTGAAAATGTAAGGTTAAATTGACTTACATGGCACAGATTAAATTCCTGTAGGCTATGTTAAAACATTACAAGTACTAGATTATGAATTAATATTATCACAATCCAGCAAAGCTATTTGAGTAGATTTACAAAGATGTTTCCCTCAATTTGCCAGCCCCTTTGTCTTTAGAATGTGGACAGTCTGTTTGATTGTTGAAGATTAGGGTGGAGCATACTGCAAGGTTCAACACTACAGATTGCATTTTACGTAATCATACTCCATCATCTTGGAACAAGGTTATGTAAATCCCTGTGGTGAAATGATTCCGCTTCAAACTAGCACACATTTTCGGCAGAGATCGTGATTTTTGTCCAAACCTCCCAAAATGTAATTACATTGTTTTGTAAGCAAATGCGTTTTAGATATGAGTGGTGAGTAGTGATGTGGTGTGACTAGTAACGTGGTGTATCTTAAACTACTGAGCTACGGTGAGCCTTGCCAAGCCAAGCTGGACTGTACTGGCCTGGTAAACCATCCTCCACAGTTGGTGAAACGGTGCTGGAAAGGACAATGTGAGAGCCAGTACAGTATGGTATGAAAATGGAAATACTGTCACATCACATTTATTTATTTTTATTTATTTTTGGTCATTTAGCAGACGCTCTTATCCAGAGCGACTTACAGGAGCAATTAGGGTTAAGTGCCTTGCTCAAGGGCACATCGACAGATTTTTCACCTAGTCGGCTCAGGGATTAGAACCAGCGACCTTTCGGTTACTGGCACAACGCTCTTAACCACTAAGCTACCTGCCGCCCCATCCTTAACCACATCTTTATATGAATAATCATTTTCCATTCATCTCTGTCTCTCTCCCTGACTGGCCCCATCCTTGTCTGTCTGTCTGTCTTATCTTCTCTCTCCCTGTCTGTCTGTCTCTCTCGTAGGTGCTGCCAGCCAACCCTGAGGAGTCATGGCAGGTGTACAGCTCAGCCCAGGACACGGAGGGCCGCTGTGTCTGCACCGTGGTGGCGCCTCAACAGACCATGTGCTCGCGGGACGCCAGGACCAAGCAGCTCCGGCAGCTGCTAGAAAAAGTAATCACCCCATGTAGCATGACGTATTACAGTACCCATTACCTCCTATTATCAGAGCTCCACTAGAACCAACACCATTCACCAGTTGCACCAACACTACCATTACATCTTATTTTCAGCAGTAAGAGCCTCTGGCCAGAGGACAAGAGTCACTCACATGTATGGTTCCTTGAGAATAGCAGTTCAGTTCACCCTGCAGTATTTTGACAATATTAATTTCCCATCATCATCATTTGATATGATCTGAAATTGTCTTATACAGTAGATTTGTTTGGAAGCCAGGTGTTGCACACATTTGGCACCTTGATGGGGAATAACCGGTAGTCAATGTTAGCATACTCTCAATCCCTATCACTGATGTAGGTCTTTCTGATTCGCTTGATCTTCAAGTACACGTAACAGTATATTGCTCTTGAGCACTTGAATCACTGTAATGTCTGGCTAGCCACATTAGAGATTACAGTGACAGTTTTTGCAGTCAATCATCCACAGTACAGTGCCTTAGGAAAGTATTCAGACCCCTTGACTTTTTCCAAATTTTGTTACGTTACAGCCTTATTCTAAAATGGATTAAATAAAAACATTTCCTCAGAAATCTACTCACAATACCCCATAATGACAAAGCGAAAACAGGTTCTTAGAAATGTCTGCAAATTTAAAAATAATTTACATAAGTATTCAGACCTTTGCTATGAGACTCGAAATTGAGCTCAGGTGCATCCTGTTTCCATTGATCATCCTTGAGATGTTTCTACAACTTGATTGGAGTCCACCTGTGGCAAATTCAATTGATTTGACATGATTTGGAAAGGCACACACTGCCTATATAAGGTCCCACAGTTGACAGTGCATGTCAGAGCAAAAACCAAGCCATGAGGTCGAACGGAATTGTCTGTAGAGCTCCGAGACTGGATTGTGTCGAGGCACAGATCTGGGGAAGGGTACCAAAACATTTTCTGCAGCATTGAAGGTCCCCAAGAACACAGTGGCCTCCATCATTCTTAAATGGAAGAAGTTTGGAACCACCAAGACTCTTCCTAGAGCTGGCCGCCCGGCCAAACTGAGAAATCGGGGGAGAAGGGCCTTGGTCAGGGTGACCAAGAACCCGATGGTCACTCTGACAGAGCTCTAGAGTTCCTCTGTGGAGATGGGAGAACCTTCCAGAAGGACAACCATCTCTGCAGTACTCCACCAATCAGGCCTTTATGGTAGAGTGGCCAGACGGAAGCCAGTCCTCAGTAAAAGGACATGACAGCCTGCTTGGAGTTTGCCGAAAGGCACCGAAAGACTCTCAGACCATGAGAAACAACATTCTCTGGTCTGATGAAACCAAGATTGAACTTTGTGGCCTGAATGCCAAGCGTCACGTCTGGAGGAAACCAGGTACCATCCCTATGGTGACGCATGGTGGTGGCAGCATCATGTTGTGGGGATGTTTTTCAGCAGCAGGGATTGGGAGACTAGTCAGGATCGAGGCAAAGATGAACAGAGGAAAGTACAGAGAGATCCTTGATGAAAACCTACTCCAGAGCGCTCAGGACCTCAGACTGGACAAAGGTTCACCTTCCAACAGGACAACGACCCTAAGCACACAGCCAAGACAACGCAGGAGTGGCTTCGGGACAAGTCTCTGAATGTCCTTGAGTGGCCCAGCCAGAACTTGAACCCGATCGAACATCTCTGGAGAGACCTGAAAATAGCTGTGCAGCGACACTCCCCATCCAACCTGATAGAGCTTTAGGGGATCTGCAGAGAAGAATGGGAGAACCTTCCCAAATACAGGTGTGCCAAGCTTGTAGCGTCATACCCAAGAAGACTCAAGGCTGTAATCGCTGCCAAAGGTGCTTCAACAAAGTACTGAGTAAAGGGTCTGAATACTTATGTAAATGTGATATTTCCAGGTTTATTTTATAAATTAGCCAATATTTCGAAAAATCTGTTTTTGCTTTGTCATTATGGCTATTGTGTGTAGATTGATGAGGGAAAAAACAATTTAATCATTTTTAGAATAAGGCTTTAACCTAACTAAATGTGGAAAAAGTAAAGGTGTCTGAATAATTTCCGACGGCACTGTATATCTACAATTAATTGTGTCATGCACCAACAATTTTGAAGGAGCATTCATGGCCAAATATCATATCTTTGTGTTCACTGAGTGTATATCTTGTTTATTTTTATTCACAAAATGTATCAAAGAGAGGAGGCAGGTGCACTAAACCTGGGAAGACCCTAAAACACTAAATGTAAACCCAGGTAAAACCAGGTTTCCTTGTATATTTGGGGCTGTATTTAGGTATTTATTGTCTTTATTTTTTTATTGTGTCCTATGTGTTAGGTCCAGAACATGACCCAGTCTATCCAGGTGCTGGACCAGCGGACCCAGAGAGACCTGCAGTACGTGGAGAGAATGGAGGTCCAGCTGAAAGGTCTGGAGACCAAGTTTAAACAGGTGGAGGAGAACCACAAGCAGAACATTGCCAGGCAATATAAGGTATGTCAACATTGCTCTTACATAGACAACATTGTACAAAGAGATGTGTCCGCATTTATCAAGTGTCTCAGAGTAGAAGTGCTGATCTAGGACCCTCCTGTCTATATAATCTTATTCATAAAGATCTAAAAGTCAAAACTGATCCTAGATCAGCACTACTACTCTGGGAAGCGTGATTCATACAGCCCCTGGTGGAAATGAAACCCTTACACCTAAATGCTTGCCCCTGGAAAAATAAATAAACGTTAACTATTTTGATGACGTTTATGTTTGTTTGTGTGTGCATATGTGTTCCCCGTCTATCCTCACCAATGCAATGTGTATGCTATGTTCTGTCATGAACATCACTGGGAGTGATGACCCTTGCACGTTTTGTGTGTGTATATTAGATAGGCTAGTGAGTTAGATTATTCAACACTCAACAGTATCTCATTTTTTTGCTTGCAGGGCTAACTTTAGGAAATTATAACGCTGCAGAGACTGAAGAGGCAGTTCAATCCCAGTGTTCTATCCCTGAACTTGACCAATGACTATTTGCACCATGCATTCTATTTGAAATATAGCACCTTTTTCACCCTCAGACCTTCACTGCTCTTTGCATTTCTGCATGTTACTGTAGATGCATTCCATAAATAGATTTTGTTCAGTTTTTGTATTATTTTCATTAAATTCTTATTTAATTTCATATCTCGTTTAGTTTAGTATATGCATACTTGGTTACTACAGAGAAAACGGAAACATTGTTGTATGTGACATGAAAGCATGTAACCCTAAGATGTTGCATTTTAAAAGGTGAAAATAAAATATTTTCCCAATTGTTTTTGGTGTACCGAGGACTTGTTTCATGCTGCTTATGTTTGTGAGGATGTCACATCTGCTCATGATACTGTTGAATGTGTTAGGTCCACTCTGCACTCACCATAGGGAGACAGCCAGAGTAGGGCAAGACAGGTGTGGCACACCCATTTGCTCGCATAACACTGAACCAAGCCTATTTTAACCTTTCAGGCAATAAAAGCGAAAATGGAGGAACTTAGACCATTGATACCAGTGTTGGAGGAGTACAAAGCCGATGCAAAATTGGTATTGCAGTTTAAAGAGGAAATCCAGAATCTGACGTCTGTGCTAAATGAACTCCAGGAGGAGATCGGAGCCTATGACTACGAGGAGCTACAAAACAGAGTGTCAAATCTTGAAGAGAGGCTTCGTGCGTGCATGCAAAAATTAGGTAGGCTCAGATAACACTGAAACACCCCCTTTGCTTCCTTGTGCAAGGGGCCAATCAGATCTACAGTAGTCATTCTTCTCACACCAGCAGATCTCAATCTATCCACCGCACCTACATGTTCTACCCCTACAGTATATCAGCTTTAACATACTCAGTTATTCTCTCATGTTAGGAAATCAAAGATGCCTTGACTACATCTATTCCTTTTCCTACTCTTACGTGTACTTACATGCCTACTGCATCAATGCTTAACAATATTGCTGATGAAAAAAGAGACTTTGTCCTCATACAGTATGTCAAGTTAGACGCTATATAAACACGTTAGGATTTAGAGTTGTTAGCGGGTGATTTTAATTATGTTTTGCTAATTTAATCCTATTTAGTCAAAACTACGTCTCTAGTACATCATGTTATGTGTGCCAGAAATGAGCTGTGAGCTTATGTCCACTTCTTGGCTAAAAGCTACACACCATCGTAGCGGCAGTCATCTAAAAATAGTGACAGGATATAACAACTGACAGATTACTTCTCTCAGTAATCTCCTTGTTGCATGGGTTGTTCACAGGAAGGAATATAGATACAAAGCCTACCTGTCACAATATCTATTTGATTGATGTCACAAATAAGTGAAAGGCTGAAAGTACAGATGTAGGATCTAAATTTGAGCCAGTTTGCTACAGCGGGAAAATAATCCTGCAGCAACAGGACATTTGAATTATTATGTGGATTATAATTAATGGACATTTTTGTATGGGTTGATACATTTTTGGTAAGGGAATATCAAGTCTGAAACTTCAAAGTGGAAATTACAAACTTCAGAAGCCTTTTTAAACATCAATTACACTACAAGTTTAAATTTTCCTGAATTGCAGGAAAGTTATTCTGCAACAGGGTGATCAAATTAAGATCCTACATCTGTAGGTGAAAGGCTGAACAAATCAATGAATGTTGCAAAATGCTTGTTTAAAAAAAACAGGAGGAAAAATGTAGAAGAAATAGATAGAAGAAATATACTGGTAAGGAATGAGACCAAGGGAAGACAACATGCATTGAAGTCAGTTTCCTTCGCACCACTGTATGATTCCATTATAAGCCAGATAATCATGGCACTGTCGGTAGCATTGACTGTTAGGATGCTAAGTGTACCAATGGGAATACATAGACCCTGTATGGAGGGAGAAGAGCTAATGTGCTGGCAAATTCCTAGAAATGAAAGAATGTCTCACTACAATATCAGAGGATTATCCAATTTTGTTTCAAGTGCTCAGCTTTAACTTTCCAAGTACTATAGCAATGGGCGATAGCAAGAGTTACATATTACGGAACACTATCTAAGAAAAATGGGGGCTGTTACCTTTTTCTGGATGTGAAGTGAGGGGGAGGTGTGAGTGTGAATTGACTCAAAGTTGAATATTGCACTCACTGTCCCTGTTTTTAATATAGCATTTGTAGAGGAGAGTAATTGAGTGTGTGATTTATATAAAAACAGAAAAGTCTGTTTCCATTATTCATAGTTATCATTTATCTATGACATTGAAAAGATACTGTTGTACAGAGACCACAAGCCCAAAGTTAGTGAGCCAACGTTGAGTAATTTGTAATTCTGAGGAAAATAAATAGATTGCAGTAGGACTAGATTCTGGCACACACATTTATACAGTATCTACACAGTTCTTGCTAGAGAGCCCTCCAGCTAAAACACTAATGTCAAAACCTGAAGAAATCACTGAACTGATCACTAGATTGTAATACTAAAGCTGGATTTGTCATCCTAAACAAGTCATATTGAAAATATAATTTTCAACATAATTATATATCAACTGTAGTTGGTACATTAAGGTCACTGACCTACGCAGACAGACAGACACACACACACACACACACACACACACACACACACACACACACACACACACACACACACACACACACACACACACACACTGTTTTCCAACCTATAGACAGCATTGATACTCCAGAGATAAATGCAGTATCTTGCATTGTGTCTTTGGCTCTTGCAGCATGTGGGAAGCTAACAGGAATCAGTGATCCAATCACAATTAAGACGTCTGGATCAAGGTTTGGATCCTGGATGACTGACCCCCTGGCACCTGAGGATGACACGAGGGTAGGCCTGCTTCTGCAATGTCTATCATATTTATTATACAGTATAAACATAAAGCAGAGTCAACTATTTTCTTTTGTGTTAATATGCAATTGTGAGGACACTCAGGAAAGGTAAAATATCAGATGTAAGATGTTAGCATAAATCATATTTGAATTACCCAATTACTCAAGTATTGACCAAAATGGATGCCATTAGAACTTAAGTAATGTGATTTCATACCTCACTGTCTGGGATTAGCTCACCGGCACCAGAACAATGGGAGGTACAGTGGGGGAAAAAAGTATTTAGTCAGCCACCAATTGTGCAAGTTCTCCCACTTAAAAAGATGAGAGAGGCCTGTAATTTTCATCATAGGTACACGTCAACTATGACAGACAAAATGAGAATGTTTTTTCCAGAAAATCACATTGTAGGATTTTGAATGAATTTATTTGCAAATTATGGTGGAAAATAAGTATTTGGTCACCTACAAACAAGCAAGATTTCTGGCTCTCACAGACCTGTAACTTCTTCTTTAAGAGGCTCCTCTGTCCTCCACTCATTACCTGTATTAATGGCACCTGTTTGAACTTGTTATCAGTATAAAAGACACCTGTCCACAACCTCAAACAGTCACACTCCAATCTCCACTATGGCCAAGACCAAAGAGCTGTCAAAGGACACCAGAAACAAAATTGTAGACCTGCACCAGGCTGGGAAGACTGAATCTGCAATAGGTAAGCAGCTTGGTTTGAAGAAATCAACTGTGGGAGCAATTATTAGGAAATGGAAGACATACAAGACGACTGATAATCTCCCTCGATCTGGGGCTCCACGCAAGATCTCATCCCGTGGGGTCAAAATGATCACAAGAACGGTGAGCAAAAATCCCAGAACCACACAGGGGGACCTAGTGAATGACCTGCAGAGAGCTGGGACCAAAGTAACAAAGCCTACCATCAGTAACACACTACACCGCCAGGGACTCAAATCCTGCAGTGCCAGACGTGTCCCCCTGCTTAAACCAGTACATGTCCAGGCCCGTCTGAAGTTTGCTAGAGTGCATTTGGATGATCCAGAAGAGGATTGGGAGAATGTCATATGGTCCGATGAAACCAAAATAGAACTTTTTGGTAAAAACTCAACTCGTCGTGTTTGGAGGACAAAGAATGCTGAGTTGCATCCAAAGAACGCCATACCTACTGTGAAGCATGGGGGTGGAAACATCATGCTTTGGGGCTGTTTTGATTTGATTGGATTTGATCCAAAGGACGTCCAGCCAACTTGACACAACTGTGGGAAGCATTGGAGTCTACATGGGCCAGCCCCGACAAATTGAAGCTGTTCTGAGGGCAAAAAGGGGTGCAACTCAATATTTGGAAGGTGTTTCTAATGTTTTGTACACTCAGTGTATCTGTTCTCTTGCTTCAAATTCATGAGGACACAAACACTTAAAAGAGAATGACTTAAGCGGAGACTACCGTTGAAAATCTGAGAGATCAGAGATAAGTTGAGTCATCTGCACTGCCTCTCAATGATTGATGAGGGTCGAAGCCCTGGCTTTGTAGAGAGATTCTGTCTGGGAATCCTTTGATATTCTTAATTTCATCTCAGAGTTACAGCAGAAAGACCACACGCTCTCCATGATTTCATATTACATGATGGTTTTAGATTATTTTTTGCCAATAACACACTGTACCGACTTTTTAATGCACTTGTATTCCCATCTAGGTGTGGTACATGGACGGCTACCACAACAACCGATTTGTGCGGGAGTACATGTCCATCTACGACTTCATGAATTCCGACAACTTCACGTCTCACCGCCTCCCCCACCCATGGTCGGGCACGGGTCAGGTGGTCTACAACGGCTCCATCTACTTCAACAAGTTCCAAAGCCACACAATCATCAAGTTTGACTTCAAGACCTCCGTCATCAGCAAGTCACGCCAGCTGGACTACGCCGGCTACAACAACATGTACCACTACTCCTGGGGAGGCCACTCGGACATCGACCTCATGGTGGATGAGGGCGGGCTCTGGGCCGTCTATGCCACCAATCAAAACGCAGGAAACATTGTCATCAGCAAACTGAACCCCAGCACCCTGCAGATCATCAAGAGCTGGACCACCAACCACCCCAAGAGGAGCGCAGGAGAGGCCTTCATGATCTGTGGTACGCTGTATGTCACCAATGGCTACTCCGGTGGGACCAAGGTGTACTATGCCTTCAGCACCAACTCGTCCACCTACGAGTACATTGACATACCGTTCCAGAATAAGTACTCTCACATCTCTATGCTGGACTATAACCCTAAAGACAGAGCGCTGTACGCATGGAATAATGGTCACCAGGTGCTGTACAATGTCACCTTGTTCCACGTCATTCGCTCAGAGCAGGAGCAGTAGATAGCTAGCCATGCTGTGACCTTCTCATTCTACGGCAGACCTGGGTTCAAATACTATTTGATAACTTTTAAATATGTTTAGCATTTGCTTTAGCCTGCTTGGAGTGCCAGATGGGCGGGGTTTGCAGTTTTACAACAGTTATATTGGTTCCATTGCACCAGGCAAGCTCAATCAAACTTGGCTAGATCAAGTGAATTTGAACCCAGGTCTGGTCCACGGATGCTTCAAAGTAGGGGAGATATGTAACTCAAATCAAATCAGTTTATTGGAAACGTACACAGATTTGCAGATGTAATCGCAGGTGCAGCGAAATACTTGTGCTTCAGAATCTAGCTCCAACAGTGCAGTAATACTTAGCAATAAAAAATTCACACATAATCCAGAAAAATGTCAATACATTAAGAAATTAAGAAATATGAGAACGAGCAATGTCAGAGACCGGAATATAAATATATATATACATATAATAGTGTCTAAAGACAGTATGGACAGTATATGAATAGAACATGTGTGTACAGCAGTAGTTCTATAGGATGAGCCATGACTAGAATGCAGTATATACAAATAAAGTGGGTAAAACAGGAAGTAAACATTATTTAAGTGACCAGTGTTCAATGACTCTATGTACATAGGGGCAGCAGTCTCTAAGGTGCAGGGTAGAATACTGTGGAAGTTCAGCAGTATCCTATATGTTACTCAGTTACAATAAATAAAGTACATCATGATATATAATGTGTAGAAAGTATAAAAACAGAAAGTAAGAACAGGTACTGGAAAGGTAATGCCTTTCTTGATTTAGATTACTTCAAAAGTCTTATAATGATTGTGTTTTTATGGAATTACCCACTCTTGACTTCTTTGATTTGATCACAGAGGAATACTGCAGCCTACTGTATCGCAGTGTAGAATGTAATTACTCTAGAATCTGAAGGGATATGAAATCCTGGGTCTTGTTTATCAACCTGTATTAAACCAAACTGTGGGACACAACACACAACCTTGACCATTTTCCCCAGGTGGGTGCTACTCATTGGTGGTGGCTGAGGTCACGTTTCCCCTTTACATTCTGAAGTGCGCTAAATATCTGTAAAAGCGCTATATAAAAATCTATGTATTTATTATAATTATTTCGTTAATTATAATGACTGGATCAGATAGTAAAGATTGTCAAATGTAGCAGCAATTTACCACGTAACTCGATTCCTGCATCTGTAAAGGTGGAGACTAGTGATCGTCATCACACAGAATATAAATCCACAATGGTATCCCCATGTGTTGGAAGCAAAATATCTAACAGGTGTAATGTCACCTCAAAACACACCTCAAAGTATTGTATCTTTCCTGCGCAATACATCCTCTCTGGAACCAATACAACACACCCTCTCATTTGCATGGGATCACATGTACGTACATTGTAGGATCTGAGTATGATTGATAAATGAGGCCCAATGGAGCACAGTGTAAAGAATCTAGTCAAACCACAAGTCAATTCCAATACTGTATATCTGGGAACACAGACTACAGACAGTTAAGGCAAAGACTGTTGCACCCTGTTTCATGAATGTTTCTTTGTGATGTGTATTTTCTCTTTTTCTATCTTCTTTTTGCATGGGCATTTTTACCAACCAAAATGGTTCCCTTCTCTGGATGTATTTTGCAATATTATGATGCTGTTGTACAGGAGACTAGTTTAGCACTGCTAGGAGGCAGGCTTTTTACTTTCTTATTGTCGTTGGGGTTGATATGCAGTATGTTCTTATTGTTGGTATAGATATTTACTGTGATAGCCTGTCTTTGTAGATTGTATTGTATTGAAAGAATTTGTCTCGCGCATATATTTCTGTCAGGCAAAAAAAAGCTAAACTGTAACAATCACGAGAATGTGCAAACAATGTATCTATGAGCCAGTGATGTATCCATTGGCAATTTTTTCAATTTGACATCACAAATCTACTGTATGTTTCTTAGAGAGATCAATTGTGACATCTTATTCTGTTGAGCTTGCATATGTATTTGCAATAACATTCATATTAATAAACAAGAGCTTTGTTCTACAATTGACTCTCTGCCCTAGAAAATAAACTTCTGAATAAGATGAATTGCCTCAATCAAACCCATTTTTGCAATGCATCTATAAAATGCAGAGGTTTTCACTTTAAAGAATTGTGGGAAAGATATGTATTTTTCATAGACATCTCTAAAAATGGCATCTGCCAGAGGACCTATTCACCTCTGAATGCGTAGTTTATACCAATGACTTGAGATATTTGCTCTTATTTGCAAACAAAATGTCTCACAGATTTTGAGATAAGTGCTTCAAATCTCACTGCATTATCCAAATGACATATGCAACTGTTTGGTCAATGGAGCATAGGACAGTCTAACACAAAAACACAGTACAATCCAGAACATGAAAGGAGAAGAAAGAAAGCACATTAAAGACATTTCGCTATTGTGGCTCATCTGGACCCACCATTCCCTCTCCATGGCAACAAAGGTACACTGTAATAACCTCTTCCCTCTGGCAGCATGGAACAGCTGGTCTGGATACAGCGCCGTACATTGCTGACTGAGCTTCAGCCACAAAACACAACACTCTTTATTAGCTCTCTACACTTCGCCCAACGCTGAGAAAATGATTGGTTTCACTCTGAGAATAATGATGATGAACAACGCAGAAGCAACGAGGCCTATAAAAGAAGACATCACACACCAGAATCTCTAGCTCCAGGTTGTTGCACACCATGCACGGCAACTATAATATGGGAATGATGAATCTGATGTAAGATCTTTATCTTGAATGAGGTAGCCCACTTTGGTTGGTACAGTATTATTCCTGATGCTCCATGAATTCAGTGCAATCATCTCTTTCTCTAGGAGGAGGACTGTGATACTATAGTCCTTCTGAATGTTAACATTGTACTCATTCTTTAGCTACTGCATGCTGATTGAACTGTATAGTACTGTACTGTACCACGTCCTCATATTGTGCCCGCTACATATCCTATCCTGTGGTAGCAGTTATGTTTTAATAATATAGAGCAGAGTGTGGTGTGGGATGCACTTGAATTTGACGCTTCCCCACAGAGAGAATCAATCCGATTCTCGAAGAGGGCACATGTACGGCCACAGGACCAGTGGTGGAAAAAGTACCCAATTGTCATACTTGAGTAAAAGTAAAGATACCTTAATAGAAAAGGACTCAAGTAAAAGTGAAAGTTGCCCAGTACAATCCTACTTGAGTAAAAGTCTAAAAGTATTTGGTTTTAAATATACTTAAGTATCAAAAGTAAATGTAATTGCTAAAATATACTTAAGTATCAAAAGTAGAAGTAAAAGTATAAATCATTTCAAATTCTTTAAATTAAGCAAACCATATGGCACCATTTTCTTTGTATTTTAAATTTAACTGATAGCCAGGGGCACGCCCCAACACTCAGACATAATTTATAAATGAAGCATGTGTTTAGTGATTCCGCCAGATCAGAGGCAGTAGGGATGACCAGGGATGTTCTCTTGATAAGTGTGTGAATTAGACAATTTTCCTGTCCTGCTAAGCATTCAAAATGTAACGAGTACTTTTGGGTGTCAGGGAAAATGTATGGAGTAAAAAGTACATCATTTTCTTTAGGAATGTAGTGAAGTAAATGTAAAAGTTGTCAAAAATATAAATAGTAAAGTAAAGTACAGATACCCAAAAAAACTACTTAAGTAGTACTTTCAAGTATTTTTACTTAAGTACTTTACACAACTGCACAGGACAACATGCTCCTCCATCGATTTTGGACTGATTGCCTTCTCAGATATCTCTCACATCCCTTTTATGCCTGTAACTGTGTTGTACGCACAGTTTGTTGCAATGAACCCATATTTAAGATGGAAACAAATCATCAATCAATGTTTCCTTTGAAATGTTCTTAGAAATATGGTACCCTGTACTCCACATCCCAACTCCTGTTACACGTGGTTTTTAAAGGGATGTCCTTACACCTTGTGAGTGTCCTATTAACAGTGTTCTAGTCATTTAGTTCTGAGTAATTACATCAGCACAGATGGTGCATTCACAATAACCACAGCAGGCCTACAAAGGTATTTCCCTTCAGAGACAGAAACGTTCAACGTTGTATTCTGTAGTCTAGTCACTTATGATTAGACAATTGAAAACCATCCATCCTTCTCTAGGCTTCAAATCAATCCCAATCCAATGTAAAATATTTGTCAACAGGATTAAGTCTTGCATTTGTTGAATTTCTATAATTAAATGTGAAATAGATTCTGCTCTCGACGTATCAGATTGTCAGATTTCCCACAGTATTAGTAAACACATATATTAGGCACTCATATAATCAGTAAAGATGTTACAGATGTAGGATCTTAATTTGAGCCAGTTTGCTACAGCAGGAAAATAATCCTTCAGCATCAGAAAATGTGAATTATTATGTGGATTATAATTAATGGAAATTTTTGTAGGGGTTGATACATTTTTTGTAACAGAAAAATCAAGTCTGAAATTTCAAAGTGGAAATTACAAACTTCAGAAGCCTTTTTATCCTCAAATATACTACAAGTTTTAAATGTCCTGCATTGCAAGAACGTTCTCCTGCAACACTACGTATGTATGAATAGAGATGACATACGATACAAAGATGTTATCAATGCCTGATGTACAGTAAATCCCCTTCAAGTAGTGTTACTGTTGTTTGGAGATGACATATCAGATTATATTCTACAATGTGGTGTATTTGAAAGAGTTACCCAGAGAAGGAGGTCAGCACTAACCATAAGTCTGTAATACAGAGTGAATTTCTACCCAGTGGAAATGCCTTAAATGTGCACATAGCTTTTCCAATCCACACAACATCAACTATCTATTTCCAATCCTCACAACATCAACTCTCTATATAAACCTCTTCATCCTCTTACGGCCTGTAATGACATTCATTCATTCTTGATAGTCCACAATTTCAAAGCTT